ACAAAAAATTAACTCCCTGAATTTGCTCAGTTGGCATTCGCAGACCCTTGAGGAGGCATCTTACTTAGGCTTGCTATCTCTAGAGTCAAACTGAATTTTCTTCAGGGGGTCAAAATGGTCCATTATATCAGCTGGGTACATTAAATCCAAGTCTATTACACTGAGTTCCCAAAGACTTGGCCAAATCTTCACAACCTTTCCTATCAGATATCCTTTGTCTGTGGAACATCTTGAAAGACTATATAAGCCAAGGATATTTTTCAATCAGTGCAAGTAAAGTGAAAATATCTTTTTATATTAAAGCTGCCAGCTTCTCAAATAGAAAATTTTGTAAGAAAAAGGTATAAGATCAAGAGGAACAAATTAAATCGACCGAGTGCACTTTAAAGTGTCTCATAAGTTTTTAAAAAGCTCTTCTTCCTCCAACTGATAATGGGAAGATGGAGGCCAGCTGTGTTCACATAAACCTCCTGTTGAAAATATGATAGAGCACGGAGATCTCAAAGCAGTCCTGAGAGTCAAACAGCATCAGCTCAACTGGGAACTTGTTAGAAATGCAAATTCCCAAATCTCCGCTGGGGGCGTGAGAGGGGTGGGCAGCAATCCCTCCAGGTGATTCTGATGCCAGCTAGTATGAGGTCCGGGGACTCGGAAGTTGGAAGTCTAGCCTCTGGAGTCAGAGTGACCGGATTTGAACACCAGGATCTGCCCCTGGTAAAGAGTGTGACTTTGGGCAAGTTACTTAACTTGTCTCTGCTTTATTCCTCAGTGTAAAATGAAGACAATAACGGTTCCCAGCTCACTGGAACACTGGCAATAAGATAATATTATACATGTAAAATCTGGCAAAATGTTTGACAAAGACTCAATAAACGTGAGCAATTATTTTCTCTACATGATCACAGATGTCCAAGTTTACTCATCTATTATTTGATTAGCATTTATTGAGCATTTACCACAGACACGGGCAGTGAGTAACTCACGACTCCTGGCTGCATACTAGAATCACCAGGGAATTCTGATGAAATCCTACTGCCTGAACCCTCCTCTATACCAAAAATAACAGTCTCTGATAGTGGGACCCAAGCTTGGATATCCATTAAAAACTACTCAGGACATTTTAATGGAAGAAGCAAATCTACAAGCAAAAATTACAACCCAAAGCCCATGGGGCTGGGTGTATGCACACGATCCCAGAGAAACATTTAGGGAGGAGTCGTTGGCCCAGCAAACTTTCATTGGCACTTATATCTTCCTCTCCTGCGTTACTGATCTTCTTAGGAAGCACGATTTCCTACATCCTCAGTGCTTGCCACCATCCTGACAAAGCGGAGATGCTGGAGTCTGTCAGCGCAATGAGAAGCGAGCTCTGTTTCTACGCCTAGACCCTCCCAACTCCTGGAAGCCTGAGCACAGTGTTTCAGGTCAGAGGAGTAATTAGACAGCTGTCATCTCCATAACAAACTCTTGTATATATACCTTTCCTTGAATATACTGCCCAAGCCTCAAGGCTAGACATAATGGTTTCACATACCATTTCCAAGGGGAGGAGTGACAGGGGCAAAGCTTTTAAATTAATTAAAAGAGACACTCAGGCACACTTCATGCCATTCTTTAATCTCTGTTCTCCTGTGATAAATATAGACTGACAGGACCAGGCCCAGGCTAACGAGCTGAGGGTAGGACCCTACGGAGGGTCACCAAGCAGCCCTCAGAAACACTGCGGCAGGGCCAAGGGCTCAGAAAAAGGAAGAGGGAAATCAGCATCTTCCCCAACTGTGTCACTGACATGTCGCCAGAGCGCTCTGAAGGATGCCCACTGCACATGTGATCCCACCCCCCTTCAACTAGTAGCAATGAAAACAACAGATAAAAAGAAAACAGCATGTACTGTAATTAAAAAGAGAAGAAGAATAACAATTATAATTTACTGAGAGTTTTCTAGTGTAAGGCAGCGTGCTAAAGGCTTCCTGTGCAGTATTTCATTTCATTATGGTAACAAGCTTCCCAACCATCCTTCCCTCCTAGCAGTATACACATGCTTGTGTAGTTCCCTCACACATTGAATCAGAGTTCACACATGTGGCCAAGAGAAGATTACAGAAGTAACTGCGACTTCTGAGCTTAGATCATAAAAGACGTCACCGCTTCTTGACACAACCTCTTGAATCACTTGCGCTGGGGGAAGACGGAGCCATGGAGCCAGGTGGACACTCAAGCAGCCCCACGGTGAGGCCCACGTGGAGAGGAACCAGCCACGTGACTAGGCCACCTTAGAAGTGGACCCTCCAGCTCTAGTCATAGCTTTGAGTCTTCCAGCTGAAGCCCCAGACATCACAGAACAGAGAAGTCGTCACCACTGGGCCCTGTCTGAATGCCTGACCCACAGAACCCAGAAGATCACTGTCTTAAAAACTAAGCTCTGTAATTTATTATGCAGCAATAGCTAACTCATACGTAAGAGCTGGATACTCCTATTTCATAGCTGACGAGAGTTTAACTGATTCGATCGTGGGCGTAGCAAGTGAAATAATGGGGATTTGAATCCATGTTTGCCGATTTGAAGTTCTGACTCCTATTCTGTCACCACTCCTGACAGATAAACATATGGTGTGTAACCTATTTCCCACCCCTTTCATTAAGGGAACAGTATGTATGTAATAGGAAGTTTTGAAGTATTTTGGTTGTCCCCAAGATACTTTGCCCATCCTACATGGCACCCGCCATTCTGCCTTGTATTTCAGCAATTTCTCCATGGATAGAGTAGAAGTTCCTGGAGGGTTGGAGTAGTGTCTTCCTTATGACGGTGCTTGTAAATAGTAGAAGGATGGGGATAGGATGCCACTTTAATCCCCTGGACTCCCATCAATCGGCCTGGTTTGGCAACTCTGCTCCACCGCTCTCAGGCTGGGTGATCTTAGGCAAATGGCCTACATTTTATGAGCCTCAGATTTCTCACTCTTATAACACGGGGCCAATATTAATGCACACTTTTGTTCACACTACATTAGAAAAATATTAGCACAAATAAAGCACAAAAATATTAGCACAAATAAATATTAGCACAAATAAAGCACTTAGCACATTGCCTGGCATGTGCTAAGTGCTCGACGAATTATTACCATCAAACGTGTTGAAAAACATCCAATATTTTAAATGGCCGAACAGAAGCTCTTCCCTCTCACCCTTTCCTTACACCAAAAGAGAATTTCCAAAGAAATGGCAGTGGTTCCTGGGAGTGAGGGTATCTCACTCTATAAGCACTGAAACCTTTGGCGTCACCTTGGCCATGGCTCCTACGACAGCCCAACCTGCCCTGCTGGAGTGGTGAGAGGATAGGGGGAAGCTGCTGTACACTTCCACTGTCCAGTGGGACATGTGCAGATGGCAATTTGGTTCTTTCTTGCAAAAAGATACGTAAGGCAAAGAGGGTCTCACTCCCCCCAGCCTTATAAGCAGGGGTGTAGGGGGATTTTGCTTGCATCCTATCTCTTAATCGCATTACATCCTTATCATCTTGTCAGCACAGACAAAGCTCCTTAGCTCCTGCCAACGCTCCCTCTAATGCCTTCCCTTGTGGTTCACTCTTTCTTGGTCTTGGAGCTAATAAGCTGTCAAATGTCTTACTGTCCCCTCAGGTGATGTCTACTCAAATGCTGTTTAGAGTCCCACCTCCCTTTGAACTTAGCTTTATGGCTCCTTCCTTCTTACACAGAGTTCTCTGTGTAAAATTCTGTTTGGGGTCCAAAATCTTTCCACAACCTTCCACTTCCAGGTAAGACTAAGAAAAGGGAAACTGGGAGAAACGCCAGCTACATTCACCCATGTCCAAATAAACACAAATTCCTAGCGTTGTTAGGTGCTAGGTTAGATTCTCAGATGGGAGGATATAAGTGACCCCCTGCCCAAAGTAACAGAGCAGATTTAAAAATACAACAACTATGAAACAAAGTGCCAAGGGAAGGATGCCAGGAGTGGCAGAGGAAGGACAAACACGGACAGGTGAGGACATGGGAGACATGAAATAGTCAGCCTTGGGTGTGGGCTCTGAGGGATGGACAATACTGAACCGAGGATGTGGGGAAGGGCAAAAGACCACTCTGGGCAGAAGGAATGAAATGCAAGGAGGCAGAAAAGCATCAGACAAGTATGTGGAATGCAATGGATTCGTAGAGAAGCAGGGTCAGGGAGTGCAAAAAACATGGTAGATTGGAGGAGATAACTATGGCGACAATTTGCAATAAAGATTTTCAAAAAAGAGAAAAGTTAAGGTCTTTTGCAGATTATAGAGCAAATAGGTAACATATGAATTTCATGATTAAGAATAAGTAACATATTCTAATCAATTTCTCGGGTATCATGAATATAAAACCCTAAGACTGGAGAAGTGTCAATATATTTTCAAAGGAGGCGACATCAACTGAATTTCTAGATCACTCTTCCCAGTATGTTAAATTTCCCTCACTGCAAGTTTTTGCTCGAAGCAATGAACTAGCTACAAGTCAAATACTTTTCAACTGCTTTTTCCCTAGTCTAGTTTTAAAAATTGTTACCCAAAGCGAGAAGGCACATTTAGACAACTAAAGTCAGGAATCTGTTACCTACTCGCAAAGTCATTTCAATGATTTCCATGACCCAGTACCATTAACCAGGCTGGTTTCAGGGTGGAGTAGATGAGTAGCAGAGGTGAACATAACTATTGCTAGGTCTCGGGGTGTCTGCCCTTAGTATATTTTTCTATCTTCTCGCCCAAACTTACCAAGCTACCACACAGAGTAAGATCTCAAACAGAAACAGCTTCAGAATCAGAACTCCCTTCTTCCTCCTTAGACCTAGAGAGCTAAGTTCAAAAAAGATCCAGAAAACATCACAGGCCATCAATCTCCATCTTGACACAGGACAAAGTCCCTGGTCGCTGTTTCTGCGTCCTCCCAGCCCTAACAGACAATCCCTGCACAACACAGAACAGAACGCCGTGGCCCCAGGCCAGGCAAACTCACCATATACCACATGCTTGGCCACTTGGGATCATTGAAGTAAGTGGACTGGGCGTGGCTAAAGTCATAATCCCTCTTGGTCCGTTTTTTTACCACTTGTTGTTGGATCCACTCCACCTGCCAAGAAGGACATTTGGTGAGTGTTCAAGTTCCATCAGGGTTAGCACAACATAAATGACAGTCTGGGACATTTCCATCTGGAGTCAGTTCTGTTTAAGGCACAGGTTTCATTCTGGCAACTAGAATCTCCAGCGCATAGAGATGCCCTAGAAACCTGGTTCTATTTTATCTTTAATGCAGGTAGGCTTTGCAGTCTTCTATGACAGATCATTCGTATTTCTCAACAACATGCTCACCCCTTTAGCTTTTTCAGAAAGCATACTTTACTCCCAACTTATTGCAAATTGACAGTGTTAATTTTTAAAGCTCATTTATTCATCCTGACCTTATACTAAGGGCTAGAAAACTTCTCTAAAGGTCCAGATAATAAATATCTTTGGCTTTGCAGGTCATACAATCTCTGTTGTAACTACTCATTCTGCCATTGTAACACCATAGACAGCACATAAACAAATGGGTGTGACTATGTTCCAATAAAACTTGATGTATAAAAACAGGTGGGAGGCTGGATTTGGCCCACAGGCCACAGTTTATATCAAAAATTTTAAATGGTCTGGGATTACACATCAAATTAAGAGAATCATCCTCGGATCAAATGCTCTAGGATCACAAATTTTTTTTAAAAAAATGGCTGTCTATAACAGAGTGGTGGAAAAAGCACTATTCAGGTAATCAGAAAACCAAAGCCCTAGACTTGTCTCTGGTACAAAATTGGAGAAGTCACTCAACTGTCTGAGCCATAGGTTCCCTGTCACCTCGAAAATTCAAACCCTCTACATTTGAGAAAGTCTTAACATTTAGCCACAATTAGTTTTTAAAAAGCAACCGGCAACTTTGAGTTTAATACAGAATTGTAACCTAAATGGTATGGGTATGAATGGGGGTACTTTTAAAAACAGTTAATCATATGGCAATATAAGAATAAGCATGTTTCATTTTGAACGGAGCATCTCAGGTACAGTATCAGCCCGGTGGCATTCTACCATTTGTTCCTAAATTCTCTTTGTTTGATTTCTTCTGGCCACAGCTAATTCAGTTGTAATACTCTAAAATGTTTCCACCATGTATCTCTACTCTCCACAAAGGAATTAAAAACTGGTGGTGGGGAGGAAGACTTTGTGGTCCACTACTATGATCTGTGATTCCATACCCATCCATTCAGTAAAGATTTCAGAACCTCTCTTGACTACTTCAAAGATTACTGGAGGAGAAGGAATACTAAAGGACCAATTAACAAGCTCAAAATGCATAGTTATAAATAAGGTACTAAGGCCAAAAGCCCAACTAATAAATTTCTATCATTCTCATATTGGGAAATATTATTCAACAAGAAGATTGGTATGCAAGATGAATTTAAATAGTGAATTCTTAGTTACATCACTAACAAGGCAAACAGAATCACACAGCCTCCCAAATAAGATCTATTTATGATTTGGACCACAGCTAAGCATCATATATGTGCATTTTCTGCTAGATAATTTAAGCAAAATTATCAGTACAGAGAAAAGTCAATAAACGAAAAATAATATACTGGAAAATGAAAGTTTTCTGTTCCTGCTTTAATTAATCTAGACCAAGTGACTCAGTGGCACTGAATCATTCTACATCACACACACATGCACACACGTGTGCACACTGGATAAAAGGTATTACATGTTATTCCTTTAAACTATTGGACAATAGCTGTCAGGCAAGCTAATAAGGATCTTGTTTTTTCTTTACTCGAAGAGACTTCTATTTAGAAATCACACTGAAACTAATGGGGCATTAAAAATGTGTGTAATTTTTTTAAATGAAAAGAGTAATTTTTAAAGTGACCATGTTTCTAAAAATACAGAACAAAATCAATTTCCTTCTCAATCAAAGTGGAGCAGCAAGCATGAGCGTGCATGTATTTTGTCTACTTCCAGAAAACATTTTAATCTCTTTATTTCAAACCATCTTTCTAAGGAATGACTTTCATAAAGTCATTTATTCATTCAATATGCAGTAAGTGCTTATTCAATACCAGACACTGTACTGGGAATTTAAAGATGACTAAGAATAATCTTCGCCTTTGATGGCCTTAATTTTATCAAGGAATATTTAGCAATTATTCTACAATTTTCCACTTCATAAAAATGTCATTATCTTCATGAATGACATGTGATGCAGGACCTATCACTATACTAATTAGACCATTTATGACAATTTTGACTATGCAAATTACATTTACAGTCCTTATAGTACTGTCTCTTAAGACTTATCCCAATAAGATGGAACTAGTTCATATTTGCACACTTGGTAAAAGAAGGCTGCAGATCTGTTTAGACCAAATGCTTTTCAAACTAATTATATATTGGCAGTGATCTTTCCTAAGAGAGCCTCCATGAATCCTGAACTGCCAACATATATGTGTTCACAAATCAGAAGGTGTCAAATCTCGTGTGGACTCAATAAAGAGACGGCTTAAGCTCAGAACAAGTCTACAATAGGGTAGGGTGGATAATTGTCTCTACAATGACACTGTAAGTATGCACTTCTCCCTACATGTGTGCGTGCATGCACGCACGCGCGCACACACACACACACGCACAAATGGACACATGGGATAAGTATGTGAGAAAACCAAGTGACAGCCATTTTCCCAGATGAACTACAGGTACTAAAATAGAACAAAATACCTCACCAAACACCATCTCTTCTGTAATTTTACCAAACAAAAATGCTTAGTTACAGGGTTCAGTGGCTAGAAGATAGCACAGCAAGTTGGCATCTACATTTGACTATAAGTCACTCTGTCTGATCACAGGGCTGCAATACTCAAGAAAAGTACAGTTGTTTTTTTTTAGTGTCAGATACCATGTATTTTGTTTTGGTGCTTTACGAGTATGACTCTATAGCCCTACATTTTTGGGAAAGCGGGAAAAGTACCCCTTGGGTCTGAAGATTTCTATGACTGGAAAGAGCATATTTATATTTTTAAACCATTATCCATATGTCTGTCCTTGAGACCTTAAAAAAAAGCTCAGAGGTAATGCATTATACAGATTTCACTTCTTGCCAAGAAGCCCAGTGCGAAGAAAACCCAGTTAGAAATTCATTTTCATAAAACTATGGTCAGCCCAGGGAAAAAGGAAAACTGTGTGCTTTCCCTCACTGGTTTAACTTCTAAAAGTTCTATTTCCTATATATTATGGATCTACATTTAAGCCAGAGTATAAAAACCTTTAGGCCTCTGAAATCAATCTAGCCTCCATTAGTTAAGCCACCTGTGTGGTACGGGGTGTTAAGGACAGCCCCTCCCTCTACTCACAGAGCTCACCTGCCTACGTGGTCCACATGAACAGTGGGCATTTGCCACTTCAGAATCTTTGTCTAAACATGTTCTCTTTCATCCGTTTCATTTGTCAAGCAAAGCACGTTAATTGATGATTATGGGAAGCCTACCCACAGTCTCAGCTGAACTCATATCTCATGATTTTGGAATTTACCAGCTTTCTGACACTATATACACAGGGAAGGAAATTTGTCAGCAATCAGAGAAAAGAGGATGTTATAGTCTATGAATCTACATTATATAAGTTATCATATAAATATAAACAGAAAACCAATTATGGTATCTATCACAAGAAAGACATGGTATCACTTATATGTAGCATCTAAAAACAAAAGTCAAAACTCATAAAAAAAGGTAGAAAAGTGGCTGCCAGGGGCTGGGGGTGGGGGAAATAGGGAGAAGTTGGTAAAAGGTACAAACTTACAACTGTAAGATGAATAAGGTCTGAGGATCTAATGAATAACATGGTGACTATAGCTGATAACACTATATTGTATAATTGAAATTTGCTAAGAGAGTAGAACTTAAATGTTCTCACCAAAAAAAAAAAAAAAAAGAAGATAAACATGTGAAGTGATGGATGTGTTAACTAGATGGGGGGATACTTTCAATAGATCAAATATATCAAATCAAAATGAGGTACACTTCAAGTGTCCTACACTTCAAGGTACACTTCAACATGTCAAGTTTTATACATCAATTATACCTCAATAAAACTGAAATTTAAAAAATATGTAGTATCTCCACAGTGAGGAGAAATCAGCCCTTTAGATATTAAAATATATTAAAGCTAATAACTGAAACGCATACTGATAGCAAATGTCTACAGGTATTGATATATCAATGGAATGGGATGGAAAGTCAAGAAACTGACAGAAAATATGTAAGAATATAGTATATGATATGGCTGCTATCCTAAAGCAATGGGGGAAAACAGATTACTTTATAAATGATGTTGAAACATGAACCAACTGGGAAAAAAATAAAATTAAAACCATTCCCACATCTTAATCAGGATCAGTTCCAAATGAATCATATTTAAAAGTAAAAGTAAACAAATAAACCATATAAGTCCCATGAGAAACAAAGGAAATTCTGAAAAATAACCTTAGAGTGGATGATGCTTGTCTAAGTATAATAAAAACCACAAAAGTGATTTGGAAAAATGGATACATTCAACTACAGAAAACATAAATTTGGCGTGGCAAAAATGACTTCATAAACAAGGTAAAAGACAAACTAGAGAAACATTTATAGCTGCTACCATGGACAAAGGCTCTTTCCCTCAAATATAAAGAGTTCCTGGGACTTCCCTCGTGGCGCAGTGGTTAAGAATCCACCTGCCAACGCAAGGGGACATGGGTTTGAGCCCTGGTCCGGGAAGATCCCACATGCCACAGAGCAACTAAGCCCGTGTGCCACAACTACTGAGCCTGCACTCTAGAGCCCACGAGCCACAACTACTGAGCCCGTGTGCTGCAACTACTGAAGCCCACGTGCCTAGAGCCCGTGCTCGGCAACAAGAGAAGTCACCACAATGAGAAGCCCACACACAGCAATGAAGAGTAGCCCCTGCTCGCCGCAACTAGAAAAAGCCCACATGCAGCAACGAAGACCCAATGTAGCCAAAAAAATAAATAATTAAAATTTAAAAAAAAAGAGCTCCTACAATCAGTAC